AAAAAAAAAAAAAACCCAAAAAAAACCCCAGGCACGACAGCCATTTTTTCCTATCTGAGTAAGAAGGGATATTCTCAAAAAGAGTAACAGCTTAAGATTCTGACTCTCTATTTGCAGAGAATGCCATTTTGTAATTTTAAGGCTCTGGGAAGATAAATAAGAAAGACTGGTAAAGGAAGGGAAAAAAGAAGGGAGAAAATACAGGAGCAAGTAGGGGGAGAGAGTCCCTCTCTACCACATAGCCCCAATTGAAGGATTAAGCATTTGGACTATAAATGAAGGGGAGCTTTGTTAGTTTAATCACTGGAACAATTATAAAAGGACTCAACAACAACGAGGTTTATTGAAAATTTTGCCTAATGCTAACTGACCCATGCAGATGCCTAATTGTGTTTGCATATTAAAAGAAGGGTGTATCTGTTTGTTTCCAGGCTTTGATGGAATATCAGATATTGAAAATGTCTCCCAGCTTGTTCATCCTTCTGTTTCTGACACCTGGTATTTTATGCATTTGTCCTCTCCAATGTATATGCACAGAGAGGCACAGGCATGTGGACTGTTCAGGCAGAAACTTGACTACATTACCATCTGGACTGCAAGAGAATATTATCCATTTAAATCTGTCTTATAACCATTTTACCGATCTTCATAACCAGTTAACCCAATACACCAATCTGAGGACCCTGGATATTTCAAACAACAGGCTCGAAAGCCTGCCTGCTCAGTTACCTCGGTCCCTCTGGAACATGTCTGCTGCTAACAACAACATTAAACTGCTTGACAAATCTGATACTGCTTATCAGTGGAACCTTAAATATCTGGATGTTTCTAAGAATATGCTGGAAAAGGTTGTTCTCATTAAAAATACACTGAGAAGTCTTGAGGTTCTCAACCTCAGTAGTAACAAACTGTGGACAGTTCCAACCAACATGCCCTCCAAACTACATATCGTGGACCTGTCTAACAATTCCTTGACACAAATCCTTCCAGGAACATTAATAAACCTGACAAATCTCACACATCTTTACCTGCACAATAATAAGTTCACATTCATTCCAGATCAAGCTTTTGACCAACTCTTTCAGTTGCAGGAGATAACCCTTCACAATAACAGGTGGTCATGTGACCACAAACAAAACATCACTTACTTATTGAAGTGGGTGATGGAAACAAAAGCCCATGTGATAGGGACTCCCTGTTCTAGCCAAATATCATCTTTGAAGGAACATAGCATATATCCCACACCTTCTGGATTTACCTCAAGCTTGTTCACCCTAAGTGGGATGCAGACAGTGGACACCATTAACTCTCTGAGTATGGTAACGCAGTCCAAAGTGACCAAAACCCCCAAACAATACCGAACGAAGGAAACAACGTTTGGTGCCACTCTAAGCAAAGACACCACCTTTGCTAGCACCGACAAGGCTTTTGTGCCCTACCCCGAAGACACATCCTTAGAAACCATCAATTCACACGAAGCAGCAGCTGCAACTCTAACTATTCATCTCCAAGATGGAATCGTTACAAACACAAGCCTCACTAGCTCAACAAAATCGTCCCCAACACCCATGACCCTAAGTATTACTAGTGGCATGCCAAGTAATTTCTCTGAAATGCCTCAACAAAGCACAACCCTTAACTTCCGAAGGGAAGAGACAACCACAAATGCAAAGACTCGCTTACCTTCTGCGGCAAGTGCTTGGAAAGTCAACGCTTCATTTCTCTTGATGCTCAATGCTGTGGTCATGCTGGCTGGCTGAGGGGCCGCAGCGTTTGAAGCCAATGAAAGAGCTCCCCCCTGATGTACAGTTGGGAAAATATGCCCCTATCTAACCAGTGATTCAAGCTACATAAGTATTCGAGAAAGCCAGTCTCACATTTCTGACTCTGATGTACACGAAGTAACTTGTCTTAAAGAAAAGAAGTGCACAATGTCTCGGTACTCGCTGCTATTTTACTGTCTTAAGTAACACGACTGAGTTTCTTTCTTTTTAATGAAATGTTTTCTTTTTGAGGCTTCAATTTACTGCACAAAATGTAAAGCATCTAAACTTTAATATGTATTTTATGTATGTTTACACTGTCAAACATCTGGGAAAAAAAAAATAAAAGGTCTATGCTCATAATTGTGTCATTTGGCTTTCTAGTCAGACCAACTTAATCTTTTCAGTGTAATTGAAATGACCGAACCATTTTTGTCCTAGGGTACTCTGGTAAAGTCTGTGCGGTAGATGAAAGAAATGTTGGAGGTATTCAAGGATTTTGCCACTAAAGTGTAACTGTGGTTGCTACCCCATGAATGGTTATGCCACATCATTATTTTACACACAAGCCATAATTGTTTCAAATCTAAATGATGTCCTGCTTCTGAGGAACTCTTGGCTACTTTACAGATTATATAATGGACAAAAGCTCTTCAAAAAGCTAGAAGACACTAGGCTTTGCATTTTAATCAGGAAAGTTTAACGGCTTTGTTTTTTGCATTTAAGGAAAGTATTAAAAAGATCATAAAAAGTTTGGCTTTACAGATATGTAAAGGGACAGTTTTAGCGCATATTTAACAGACCATTTGCTAATGAAAAATTTACACATTTACAAAATGAAAAGTCTTCTACGTATAGGAGAGGGAAATTTACCTTTTGTACGTCGGATGTCAGAATCTGATTTACCTCAATTAAAAATAAGGATAGATTAGGGATAAAATCCTGGGGGTCTGACAAACATGGGCACTACTAAGGAAGAAACAGGCAAGGAGAAGGGGAAGAAAAGACGGGGTTCACCTGGTGCCACAACTGGGTGATGAACCCAATACAACACACAATATAGGACTAGGGCTGGGCCTAAGACCGATGTTCACACTCCAAATCAAACTGCACTGGGCGCAGCTAGAAGAAAATGGCGAATTTGCTACAAATACAAAAAAGAAAGCCACCTTATGAATTAGAGACGAACAAAAGTAATAGCCACGAGTCAGAAAAAGAAGCCCTGAAACAAGGCTAGATTAAAATGCAAGACAGCATAGCTGAAATAGGCCACAAATGAGGGATTTAAATTGTGAGACATAAGGAAGGCTCTATTTCAAGCAATTCCTAGAGTTGGGAGAGTCCAGAAAGAAACTCTGATGCTCCTTCCTAGGAAATTTTAAAATAAGACAAGACTTCTTTCCAGGTTTGGGAACCTTTCTATTTGGAGAGACAGAAAAGGAATAACCCTCTAACGTACTCTTTTGGTTTTAAAGGCCCGGGCTTATGGGAAAACTACTGTTAAGCTTCAATAAGGCGATTTCTCTCCTAGGCTGACTAGTACAGTGGCTCTTAAACATTCCCCTGCCCCAGCAAACCCAACTCACCATGTCAGGGAATCTCACCATGAAGAAAGGGGGTTATTTGAAAAAGTCCCCTAAATGGTTTTAAAATTCATTACCTTTCTAAATGGGCAAGCTGCTTCCACTCCTCCTCGTCACTGACCTAGTCGCTTTGCCAGCGATGGTAAAGACTACTCACTTATGGAGCACCTGGGTGGCTCAGTCGGTTGAGCGTCCGACTTCGGCTCAGGTCATGATCTCATGGCTCGTGAGTTCTCGAGCCCTGCGTCAGGCTCCGTGTTGACAGCTCAGAGCTTGGAGCCTGCTTCTGATTCTGTGTCTGCCTCTCTCTCTGCCCCTAACCCACTTGCATTCTGTCTCTGTCTCTCTCAAAAATAAATAAACATTAAAAAAAAAAAAAAGACTAGTCACTTACACACCCTCCTCTACCAAACACTTATGTCAGGTTTCTGAAACACATAGAGTGAGCTTCCCAACAAGTAGGTTTCTTAGATGTCTTTCACTCTGAGGGTGCCAAAAATACAATGCTGTCTTAGAAGTGCTACAGGGACAAGTGACAAGAAGGTGAAATTATGGATTACAGCATTAGTAGCATCTATGGATTACACCAATCTTCCTGACTTGTCTGCAAAACGCAAAGGAAAAAACGGAGTAAATTTACAAGTCAACTACACAGACTTCAAATCCTTAGAAAGAAGTATTACCTAGCCTTAAAGTAATTAGATAAACTTCCTTCTAAGGAAATTGTGTTCTTATCATTTTTAATGGAGGAGGACTCATTATTTGCCACTAAGACAAGAACTCCTGTATTACTGGCTCCATAAACATTTCAAAATACGTTAGTCCTCTCAAGCACATTAGCTATATATCCATCCATTCATCCACCCCTCGGGCTTAATTCTATTTTATAAGTAACTTTTGTTTCTCACCAGTCAAGAGGATCCTAATAAGAGCACAAATACAAAGTAAATGCAATAAGGGATAAAACAGCAGGGAAGCATGTGTCGTGCTAAAGTTCTAGGCCTAAATCCTGCTTCTGTCACTTCTCAGCTGTACAATCCCGGCCATGTTACCACTGCTCAGGGTCAAGGTTCCCTCATGTCTAAAATGGACTAGCAGAACTTATTCATAGTGTTTGTCTTGAGGATCAAATGGTGTAATTCACAGACAGCTTATCATACTGTCGTGCTCCCCCCCAACACATTCTATAGGCAGTAATGTTGCTGCTGCTGTTGTTAGGGTTATTATTATTATGGATATGCCCAAGCCCAATGCTTTTGAGAAATGCAAGTAGGAATACCCAAGCTCCACACCTTAACAGCAACAGAATGAAAGGGTGTGCTGGCTTCAGTCGCTGCTTTTCCACCCTCCAGAGTTCAGGTTCAGATGTATTAGTGGAATAGGGATGCAGAAGAAAGAGAAACATTCACTATCACAGCAGAAGAAGAAGATGTCTTCTGTGGCTAAATTAAAAGATCACAAGTATGTGCTATTCAATAACCTTCCATAACAATGCTCTGAAGCAGCAGCAAATTCCTTTAACCAACACCAAAGATGTCAAATGAAAGTCAACCTCAAATCTTTTTTAACATTATTCCTTATGCAATGCGTTTTAAGAACTAGACAAAGAATGAGAGCATGCATGGCAAACTACCAGCCAGCATCACAGTTAAAAGTGACAAGTTATATTTCTATTAAAATCAGAATCAGAACAACGATGCCTATTTTGTCATCAATCTTTTCAACATTATTTGGGACATTCCAGAACAGGAATAACAGATACAATTATATGGAAATAGGAAACACAATTATTACTATTAATAAACTGAAATAATGGTCTATCCAAAGGATTCCTCAGGAATGCCTTCAAAAGAATAACCTTAAATAACAAAAAGCATATGGAAACATGAAGGATTTTCTTGTGTGTTGGCAACAAATAGTTAGAAAATTACAGAAGAAAGATACCGTTCATTGCAGCAACAACAAAGCAAATATACAATGCCTGAAATAACATTCACATGAAATGTGCAGGACCGAATGGGGGAAAAGCTAAAAAAGCATTAATGCGAGGTATTAGCTGAAACTTGACGAAGACGATACACAAAGATCTCTCCATTCGTTTATTCTTTCACTCAACAGACATTTATTCAGCACCTGGAATCAAGGCTAAGTACACGAGACACACCTTGAGTGGTACCGCAAAAATGAGATTATTTCCGGTATAATTCGTGGATTAAACCAACTCTGACAAATATATTCCAATGAGATTCTTTTTGAGACATGACATAAAACACTTCAAGTCACCTGGAAAAATAAATAGGCAAGAACAGAAAAAAGGAAGACACAGTAGAGGTATCTTACACATTCTCGGGAGGAGAACCCTTCTAAGACAAAATAGTAGGGACATAAAAATAGAAAGGCAGACAGCCACAGCACAGATATGCAAGCACAGTCAGAGTACTGTGCACAGAAGAGAGAATTCTAAGGACTTCCATTTCCTCCCAGGGTTGTTGAGAGGAGTGAGGGCAAAATGACATAATTCATGTAACATGCTTAGAACAGTGCCTACCGCATAGGAAATTCCCATACATTGTTCATTTTAGAAGGAAAAAAAAAATCACAAATCAAAGGGCAAGGGTAAGACTCAGTATTAAGAATACTGGGGAAACTGGAAAACAGCCTACTTCAACCCTCACTTCACATGATACACCTACACAGCAAACTAAAAATGAGAACATTAAAAAAAAAAAAAAAAAAAAAAAAAAAAAAAAAAAAAAGGAAGTCTTAAAACCAGCAGAAGAATTTAAACGTATTTATAAATCTCTGGGAGACCTTTTTTTTTTTAATTAGGAAAGGGGAAAAAAATCACAAAGAAATTATCGACGGATTTGTCTATATAAAACTCCCAAGTTTCTTTATGTGGAAGTAATGAGCTGAATAAAAATATTCAAAGAGAATACCATAAAGGAGATTGTTCATCAAAAGCTTACAAAATTGATAAGAAAAATATTTAGATTCCCAATGGGTAAATGGGCACAGGACATAAGGAGAGCACTTAAAAGACAGGAAGTATCCTGAGAAAAGTATATGGACCTAGGGACTACCACATAATGACTGAAAATGAAAACAAAATGGGATACCATTTTCATCATTAATTCAGCAAGCAATCTTTAAGAAACAGAAATGAAGGCCGGGGAAGCCATCACGAAATAACCACATTCACATGTTGGCACCACTTCTCTGAACGGCAACTGGCAGCCGTGAGGAGGAAACAGCTACCCTGAGCTGCTGCCTAGGCGTCTGGCAGTAGGACAACCCCGCACACACGCAGAGTCTGGCCCTCCGGATAAGGACCTGAGCTTAGGATTTCCACCACCAGTTCCTGCTTTGCTTTTCCTGGTGCACATTGTTAAATAACTACTCAGAGTTGGGCCC